CCAAATAAGTAAAAAATATCAAAGTTGTATTTTAAATGGAACAACCTGTATATTATTACATTTTTAGTTTCTACGATTAAAATAAAGGTAAATTTGATTAAGATTTATTATACTTACCGTTTTTGAAATATTTTCAATTTTGTGAAATTGCAGTAAAAATTTTAAGGCTTCATTTCTCCAAGGGTATCAAAATTTTTGATACTAAATATTTACTGAAGTTTATTTAGTGATCAGTTATTGTGTAGTAATAATAAAAATAATACTACCTTATACAGAGTGTCTAAAAATTTATTTTAAATAATTATTAGCTTCAAACGGCAATAACTTGTTTAATTTAAATGGAACACCCTGTATATTTTACTAGAATCAGATGCACAATTTAATTGTCTATCAAATTATATTAAACCATTTTTTACCTATCTCTTTAAGTTTCCGTAGAAAATGCATTTTCTTGTAATTTAGAACTTATTTATCAATATACCCATGGACTATTGACATTTTAGGTCATTTTTAAAGATGTACCAAATTTTTAAAGAGTACAGATACTAATATTGTCGATATAATTCGTTTATTTCATTAAAAAATAAAAAAAAAACTGTTTAAATATTTGTTAAAGAGGACCAATTAATATGATGCCGTATTCAAACTACATTAACTGACTGTTTGCGTTGATTAATAATAATTGCTCCAAATACTAAAAAACTGAATTTTGTATGGGCATTAGATAGTGTGATAAAAAGTAACACCTTAAAAATGATATTTCATTTTTTAATAAATGCTTATTTATAACAACAAAGACTTTAATTTGATAACTTATTATTATATTGATTTCTGACTCAAAAATCCACATTTATTTATAATAATTTAATAACGAACACAATTAAGTATGTAATTAATTAGTATATGGGCGCAAATAATGGTGTTATATTTAATTAATGGTATACTCTTTTATAAAGATTTAAATAGTTTTCTTTTTGCATACAAATGGGCTAGTAATATTATCGTTTTGCTAAAAACGATAATATTACTAGTCTGTACATTTTGTACATTTGTTGCTTTAAAAACAATCTAAAATGTCAATATTCCATTGATATATTGATAAATGAGGTCTAAATTATAAGAAAATGCATTTTATACGAAAACTTGAAGGGATAGGTAAAAAATGGTATAATACAATTTGATAGACAATTTAATTGTGCATCTGATTCTCCTAAAATATACAGGGCATTCTATTTAAATTAAAGAAGTTATTGACGTTTGAAGCTAATAATTAAAAATAAATTTTAGACACTCTGTATAAGGTAGTATTATTTTTATTATTGCAACACAATAACTGATCAATAAATAAACTTCATTACATATTTAGTATTAAAAACATTGATACCCTCTTGGAGAAATGGCTTTAAAATTTTTACTGCAATTTCACAAAATTGAAAATATTTCAAAAACGGTAAGGTTTAAGTATAATAAACCTTAATCAAATTTACCTCTATTTTAATCGTAGAAACTAAAAATGTAATAATATACAGGGTGTTCCATTTAAAAAAATACAACTTTGATATTTTTTATTTATTTGGGACACTCTGTATCTTGCAAAAATATTTTTAAATTGTAGCTCTAATAGTCCTTCAACGAACCCCAAACTTACAATTTGTGAAAATATCATCGTTTAGCCACAATACTCCGTGTCGTATGTGGTGAACAACCCTGTATACAGGGTGGTCCGAACTGTATTCCGGAAACTTCGGCAGCATAATCTGCAGATGAAAATAAGTAAAAATGTTCGTATAAATGTATGTCCTAAAATGCTTAGTTTCGGAGATACAAGGTGTAGAAGTTTCATTTTTATTTCGATTTTTTCTAAATAATTTCTGAAGTAACGTCAATATCTGGATGAAAATTGGTGTCTGGGAGTTTTGTGATACGAGAAATTTGATTTTGATGCCAAAATGACTCCTATTTGTAGGGGGCGCCACCTACAAATAGGAGTCACCTACACCTGTTTTGTAGAGTAATAACTTTTTGACGGTACCTGTATAAGACTACTGACTAAAAAAATATACATTACCATGACTTCTTACATAAAAAATGTCTCTTGCTAAAAATCGCTAAGAGGAACCGTTCTCAAGATATTTAAAATGGAAATAGTCAATTTCAAAACAGTTTCTGTTGAACTTTTGACACAAAAAGATTTCAAATTTAAGATTTCAGTCTAACAACTATTCGGTCAACATATGTTTAATTTGTCAACGATGACAGATATTGATAATTTCAATTTCAAATATCTCGAGAACCATTACTCGTAGCGAATTTAATTTATTTATTTGTGAATGTATATTTTTTTACTCAGTAGTTTTATACAGGTATGGATGAAAAGTTATTACTGTTCAAACCAGTTAAAGCATATGTAGGTGGCGCCCTCTACAAGTAGGAGTCATATTGACATGAAAATCAAATTTCTCATGTCCAAAAACTGCCAGACACCAATTTTCATCCAAATATTGACGTTACTTCTTCAATTATTTGGAAAAAAATCCAAATAAAAATTAAATTTCTACACCCTGTATCTCCGAAACTAAGCATTTTAGGACATACATTTATACGAACTTTTTTACTTATTTTAATCTCCAGAATATGTTGCCGAACTTTCCGGAATACAATTCGGACCACCCTGTATATAGGGTTAATCGAGGGCTTGGTTTTTACCCTTACTGTGCAATAATTTCGTGTGTATATTTTCCTAAAATATAATTTTACAATCAGAACCATGACTCCTGAGCATTTTGATTTTTGATTCATGTCAACACATGCTTTGGTTAATTTTTAAGAGCGAAATGAACTGATCACGATCAATTTGCAATTTTTTCAATCATCATTACTTTTTGATGTAATTTTCGATTAACCCTGTATAATCAGTCAAATACTAAAGTTTATAAAAAACTGAATTTATGAATTAAAGTTGATGTAATTATTATATAATAGCTTGCTAAGAAATTCATGAAATAGGAAAAAAAATAATAAAAATATAACACTTTAAATTTGACCAAAAATTTCTCCGTTGCGTTTTTTTTGCGTGTATTCTGTATTAACATAAAATTGTTTTCTGTTTTTTTTTTTCATTAAAAAAAATGCCGCCCCCATCAGCCTGCCGCCCTAGGCCCCCTTTCTTTCCTAATGCAAGTAATAACACTAATGGATAAAGCAAACCCTGAACTTTGGGTCAACTAAGTACCAAGATGTGTGTGTAGCTGTGTAGGTCGCATAACTAATTTTCCTTGCATTTTTTCTTCAGTATTGCATTTAGTATCGTTAGTATATATTAATTAAACTTTACAGGATAATGAAATGTGATAAAAAATAGAAATACTTCCGCCTAATGTATGAAATTGATATGAAAGACCAGGGGCGCATATACGGGAGGGGAATGGGGGTAATTACCCCTCCCAGAAAGAAATTAATTTATTTTAATTATTACTTTCGAAAATCGACAACTATGAAACTATGAACCCTTTCCGGACACTAACGGTACATTGTGAGACAGGAAATTGTAGACGGAAACAAGCCCTATAACATAGGATACAACATTTTAAATTTTAATGAACAGTGCTTTGCATAAAATCAATAAAATTAATAATAAACGAAATAATATACATGTACTGATTTTTTTCGAAAATCGACAACTATGAAACTATGAACCCTTCCCGGACACAAACTATACATTGTGAGACAGGAAATTGTAGAGAGAAACGAGCCCTATAATATAGGATACAACAATTTAATGAACAGTGCTTTGCATAAAATCAATAAAAAGAATAATATACGAAATAATATACATGTACTGATTTCTTTCGAAAATCGACAACGATAAAACTATGAACCCTTCCCGGACACAAACGGTACATTGTGAGCCAGAAAATTGTAGAGAAAAACGAGCCCTATAACATAGGATACAACATTTTAATGAACAGTGCTTTGTATAAAATCAATAAAATGAATAATATACGAAATAATATACATGTACTGATTTCTTTCGAAAATTGACAACGATGAAACGATGAACCCTTCCCGGACACAAACGGTACATTGTGAGCCAGAAAATTGTAGAGAAAAACGAGCCCTATAACATAGGATACAACATTTTAATGAACAGTGCTTTGTATAAAATCAATAAAATGAATAATATACGAAATAATATACATGTACTGATTTCTTTCGAAAATTGACAACGATGAAACGATGAACCCTTCCCGGACACAAACGGTACATTGTGAGCCAGAAAATTGTAGAGAAAAACGAGCCCTATAACATAGGATACAACATTTTAATGAACAGTGCTTTGTATAAAATCAATAAAATGAATAATATACGAAATAATGTACATGTACTGATTTCTTTCGAAAATTGACAACGATGAAACGATGAACCCTTCCCGGACACAAACGGTACATTGTGAGCCAGAAAATTGTAGAGAAAAACGAGCCCTATACCATAGGATACAACATTTTAATGAACAGTGCTTTATATAAAATCAATAAAATGAATAATATACGAAATAATATACATGTACTGATTTCTTTCGAAAATTGACAACGATGAAACGATGAACCCTTCCCGGACACAAACGCTACATTGTGAGACAGGAAATTGTAGAGAGAAACAAGCCCTATACAGGGGCGCATATACTGGAGGGGTAATGGGAGTAATACCCCTCCCAGAAAGAAATTAATTAATAAGATGAAATTTGGTATACAATAAAATTGTTACAAAAAAGTTAATAATAGAAATTAAAACAGAATATCCAAACCAATCCAAGTAGATTTTTTCCACAGTTACAATACCTTCCAACAAAAATTTAATTCAAATTTAGTTTTTTTTTGAATATTCACACTACCCCTCCCAGACTCAATCTCTAAATGCGCCACTGTGAAAGACTATAGAATAGTATAGAAATATTGCCCATGTGTTTAATATTTTTAAAACATTCTGCAGTAAAAATCGGTATCAGTACCAGTGACTTTAGATTTCAGTACTTGGAATTGTTTATTTTTATTCTGCTGTGGTATGCAAAATTTGAGCTTTTTCCATCACGTCGTCACGTCATTCCGTAGTTCACGATAGATCGGCCCCACGATCGTGCTTTAGTGCTTCCTTAGTGCTTATTGGGCTTATATTAAGGCTTATATAGTGGCAAATTTTATGATGTAAGTAAAGACAAATGTATGAAACGGTTAAGTAAAACAAAATTAATTTATTTATTAGTTTGCAAATATATTATAGGTAAAAAATTATTTTAAATCTAAAAAGTTCAACTAGGAAATTAAAAAAAATTCTTCCTGGAGTGACTGATTTATTTTTAATTTTTAAAAATTTACACAACAGCTTTCATGTGACCGTAGAATACAAGTTCTTAATTTTGAAAAAGCTCTTTTAAAATTAACTTTAAATAGGTACATTGCGATCAAAAAATTATATGACTAAGACTATCCGTATGTTTGTAGTTAACGTTTACCTAAAATATAACTCAAGTTTAAAGTGTTATATTTTTGTTATTTTTAGCTCTATTTTCATGAATTTTTTAGCAAACTGTATATAATTATATCAACTTTAATTCGTAAACTAAGTTTTTTTTTATAAACTTTAGTATTTGGCATATTATACAAGGTTAATCGAGGGGTTGTTTTTTACCCTACCTTTAAAACACCCTGTGCAATAATTTCGTTAGTAAATTTTCCTAAAATATAATTTTACGGTCAGAACCACATTCCTGAGGATTTTGTTTTTTGATTCATATCATTACATGCCTTGGCTAATTTTTAAGAGCGAAATGAACTTGCCAACAACAATTTGCAATTTTTTCAATTATCATTTCTTTTTGAAGTTATTTTTCAATATCACAAGGCGACTTTGGTGATTATTGTGAACTATATACTACTATGAAATGACCATGTTGTTCGACGTTTAGGAAATGCTTGGCAATGCGGTCGGTACCAGCTTCATTAAATGAACTTCACTTGATTCTTAAAGAAGAATGGGAAAGCATAACGCAATATGATATATGCAGCCTCAATAACAGTATGAATGGATATACAGGGTTGTTCACACACGGAGTATTGTATCTAAACGATTAGATTTTTACAAATTGTAAATTTTAGGTTCGTTGAAGGACTATTAGAGCTACAATTTAAAAATATTTTTACTTTAATTATTATTATTAGTGTCCCAAATAAGTAAAAAATGTTATAGTTGTATTTTTTTAAATGGAACACCATGTATATTATTTCACTTTTAGATTCTACGATTGAAATAAAGGTAAGTTTGATTAAGGTTTATCACACTTAAGCCTTACCATTTGTGAAATATTTTGAATTTTATGAAATTGCAGTAAAAATTTTAAGGCTTCATTTCTCCAACGATATCGAAGTTTTTAATACTAAATATTTACTGAAGTTTATTTATTGATCAGATATTGTGTTGCAATAATAAACAAAATACTATCTTATACAGAGTGTCTAAAAATTTATTTTAAATAATTATTTGCTTTAAACGGCAATAACTTGTTTATTTTAAATGAAACACCTTATATGTTTTACAAGAATCAGATGCACAATTTAATTGTCTATCAAATTGTATTATACCATTTTTTACCTATCTCTTCAAGTTTTCGTAGAAAATGCATTTTCTTATAATTTAGACCTCATTTATCACTATACCCATGGAATATTGACATTTTAGATTTTTTTAATGTTGTAACAAATTTTCAAAGAGTACAGATACGAATATTGTAGATATAGTTCGTTTATTTCCAATAAAAGATAAAAAGCAGTTTAAATAATTTTTGTTAAAGAGGACTAATTAATATGATCCCAGTATTCAAACTACATTAATTGACTGTTTACGTTGATTAATAATAATTGCTCCAAATACTAAAAAACTGAATTTTGTATGTGTATTAGACAGTGTGGTAAAAAGTAACACCTTATAAATTTTATTTAATTTTTTGATGAATGCTTATTTATAACAACAGAGGCGTTCCTTTTCATAACTTATTATGGTGTTGATTTCTGAGTCAAATCCACATTTATTTAGAATAATTTATTAATTAAAACAATTAAGTATGTAATTAACAAATTTATATAAGTGTAAATAATTAGTAATAATTGGTATACTCTTTTACAAAGATTTAAATAGTTTTCTTTTTGTAAACAAATGGGCTTGCAATATCATTATTTTTACTACCAGTACATTTTCTACATATGTTGCTGTAAAAAATCTAAAATGTCAATATTCCATGGGTATAGTGATAAATGAGGTCTGAAAGAAAATGCATTTTCTACAAAAACTTGAAGAGATAGGTAAAAAATGGTATAATACAATTTGATAGACAACTAAATTGTGCATCTGAGTCAAGTAAAATATACAGCGTGTTCCATTTAAATTAAACAAGTTATTGCCGTTTAAAGCTAGTAATTATTTAAAATAAATTTGTTGACACTCTGTATAAGGTAATATAATTTTTATTATTGAAACACAATATCTGATCAATAAACAATCTTCAGTAAATATTTAGTATTAAAAACTTTAATATCCTTGGAGAAATGAAAGCTTTAATTTTTTACTGCAAATTCACAAAATTGAAAATATTTCAAAAACGGTAAGGTTTAAGTGTAATAAACCTTAATAAAATTTACCTTTATTTCAGTCGTAGAATCTAAAAATAGAATAATATACAGGGTGTTCCATTTAAAAAAATACAACTATAATATTTTTTACTTATTTGGGACACTCTGTATCTTGTAAAATTATTTTTAAATTGTAGCTCTAATAGTCCTTCAACGAACCCAAAACTTGCAATTTGTAAAAATCTAATCGTTTAGCTACAATACTCCGTGTCGTATGTGGTGAACAACCCTGTATACAGGCAGTTATAGCAGCCAAGGGATGGCAATACAGAATATTAGGGTATTTTTTTACATTTTTTTTTCTGTTTGCTTGAGTATTACAAATGTTTCCTTTAATCGTTAGTTCTGTTATCGTTATGAATTTTTATTAAAACCAGGACTGTATCGTTAGTCTCTTTAACGTTTTTTTTAATTTAGTATAGAGCATCCAATGCAGCGTAATATTAAAAAGTTACATCAAAAAGTAATGATAATTGAAAAAATTGGAAATTAATCGTGATCAGTTCATTTCGCTCTTAAAAATTAACCAAAGCATGTAATGATATGAATCAAAAAACAAAATCCTCAGGAATGTTGGTTCTGACCGTAAAATTATATTTTAGGAAAATTTACCAACGAAATTATTGCACAGGGTGTTTTAAAGTTAGGGTAAAAACAACCCCTCGATTAACCTTGTATAATATGCCAAATACTAAAGTTTATAAAAAAAAACTTAGTTTACGAATTGAAGTTGATATAATTATATACAGTTGGCTAAAAAAATCATAAAAATAGGGCTAAAAATAACAAAAATATAACACTGTAAATTTGACCAAAAACTTCTCCATCGCGTGTATGAATATCAAATTATCATAAACCACGTGGTAAGAATGATATTAAATATATAACTATGTCCACGAGTATGTCCATATGTATAATGTATACTTCCCTTTCTGAGTTCTTTTATTGAAAACGTTAGTTTTTTTCACTAATCCATTGAAACAGAAAAATTAAAAAATAATTTTTTGGAACTTTTAATATATAGGTATACCTAAATGGGCTAGAATCCAAACAGAGCTCAGCTTTTCAGTGACTCTATTTGTAAAAAAATTGCCTAACCAAAAAAAAAAATAGAGAAATATCTGAAATGTTTTGGATATAGCAAAATAAAACACTAATTCACTACAATACAACAAAACGCTTTACTTTTAGCTCTAGAAGTGCGTTTCGCTAACCGTGTTAGCATTATTATCAGCTAAACTAAACGATGCTTAAAACTAAACTGTTTAGTTTTAATAAATAATATTTTAATACCCTTAAAAAATTATAAAACTCTTTGGTTTTAATCATCTGCTGATGCGTTATTAAGACATCATTAGATCATCCGGTATGTGTCGGCTGGATATAAAACAAAAAACGCTTGTTTGTTTATTACATTACCATATACAGAGTGAGTCTTAAATAAGTGCAAATATTTTTAGGGTTGGTATATTTCGACCCCAGAAACACGCCTATGAGGTTTTTTTCGCAAAAAAGATGTTGAAAATTGTGAATTTTATTTGAAATTTTTCTGTATATTTTAGAAAACTTTTTAGAGTTTCCTGTTCATTGCAAATTTTCCCAAGGTTTAATTTCTTAATCTCTGATATTACCATGGTTACGGCATTAAAAGGAACGGAAATACAGAGAAAATCTGCTCGGACAATTTTTTTTAAATAAATATATATATTTTTTTAATTTTCAAACTGGGATAACTCGGTTATTATTTGAAAACCGGACAGAAAAAATCTATTTCTTTTATCGAAGTCTATCAGCCCTGAAAGTATTTGCACTTATTTAAAAGACTCACCTTGTATAATAGCCATTGTTTTAGTATTATCACCAAGCAATATTCGTTATTAATAAATTATATATAGCTTCAATTGGTTATTTCAATTTTATCTAAGCATTATATTGTGATTAAAAGTGCAATAAGTTTTCATCAACAAACCTCTGTTAAAATACTTCAGATTAGTTTAAAATTTATTATGTATCTACGTATTTAGAGAGATTACAGAGTGACCCGGTGTTAAAAAGAACTTTATATAGGGTTGCTAGTGATGAGCGAGATTGGTCTTGGTCTTGCACAAAAAGCAAGACCAGGGCCCAAACTAGCAAAACCAAGACCAACCAGTGCAAGACTTACGCAAGACCATGACCAAGTATGCAAGAGTTTTGCGATGTTGCATTTTTTTAACCTTTATATTCATAATATATTCACGAAAAAATAACCAAATTATTTAAGACTTTTATACCTCTTCTCCCTATAATGTATTAATTAAAATTATTGATTATTTATAATTTTTTAATAAAAAAAAAATAACTATTGCCAGTGAATACTTGATTTATGGTAACCGTACAATATGCGATATTCGTATAAAATCTTTTTTGTCGAAACATACCGAATATATGCCCGATTTAGACCTGTTTGGTGTTGAGACTTGAACACTGGTTTTAAGTGTTGAGATCAATCGGTGTTTCAGTCGGTGTAAAGGTGTCAATAC